ATTGGAGGTGGGGAGATAAATCTCTAAATATGAAATAACCAGTTATTTCTGTTCCTTAAAAATGATCCAGCCTGACTGCTGTAAGTGGCAATCTGGCCAGCTTTTAGCTATCTGGTGCTTTCAAGGCCAGAATGCTTCTAGATATACTACTCTGCACTGTGGGTCATTATCTGCAGAAGCATCCTTCCATAGGAAAAAGGGGCACCCATATTCTGAGCGGCATAAAAAGGTAAAGGTAAAGGTTCCCCTTGACAATTTTTGTCCAGCCGTGTTCGACTCTAGGGGGCGGTGCTCATCCCCGTTTCCAAGCCATGGAGCCAGCGACTTAGACACGGAACGCTGTTACCTTCCCACCGAGGTGGTCCCTATTTTTCTACTTGCATTTGCATGCTTTCGAACCGCTAGGTTGGTGGGATACTATCCCCATAAATTCTACCAGAAGCAGTGGCAAGGCATATTTAAAATTAAAAAAGGAGCAGAAAAAGAACCTGTGCTTCTTCGTATTTGACAAGTGAGATCCACCCATGAAGGAGTTTACATTTTAATCCCTCCCCCAAGTTGGACTCAACCCGTGGGCTGACATTTTTGCTTACCTTATGATATCCTGGTTATACAGTACATTAAACTCAGGATTTTTGTGAATTCATGAAAGGAATCCTTTCGTCTGCAAGACTTGAGCTGGGGTATTAATGGTGGGACCATTTGAAGGATGTTAGTTCACAGGGCTATCATGAGCTGGAAGTGACTTGACAGCATGTAGCCATCACAACAGTTTCAAATGGACTTAGGCGTGTGAAAGTAACAGAGATCAGGGAACAGAATGATTTGCCCATCCTTATAGACAATGGATCCTTGCACAGCAATCAGCCCAAGTGTATTATCTCATCTAGTTTGGAATGATCTCTAAAGTTGTGAGTTTTTCCACAGTAGTGTGCCACAAATCTTACTGTGGTGGCAAAAGAAAAAAAAAGAAAGGGAAAATTAACTTTTTTGTCAATGTGGAGCAGCTGGTGGGCAATCCTCTGCCATACCATGAAGATACTACCAGTGCTCCTCCATCTGTTCTTTCAGTGTGCTTGCAGCACACTTTGGGCTGATGTATCTATTGGAAAGTTTCTGTGTGAATCTTGGTGTACACAAGAGACGGGCTTATTAGTGGTGGTCCCATATTTGAAGTCCCTTTTAAGAGATTTATATCTGGCCCTTTCAACATCTAGGGAGGCTTTGGAAACTTTCTTCTGCGTTGCTGTTTTTGCTTGATACAGATCCAAGCAGCTGTGCGAAGTAATATGTACATTTATTCTAATGTAGTCTGATTTGGACTGCTGGGATCACTGTTCCATTTTCCCTTGTCTGTTTGTACATCATTTTGAAAGGATTTTTTGAAAATATTTGTAATAAATAAATAAACTTTACCACAAGTGACAGTTCTTGCAGTACATGCATCTTGAAGATGTACGCAGGGAGAAGCCATAGCAGAACGGACGTTTGCAGTCAGGAATAGCCAGGTCCTTCTTTCTGCTCCTCCCCCTCATATCAAATGCAACTTGCGTTTTGTGCTGCTCCCTCCCAGTTCTACCACAAGAGGGAAGCATATGATACTATATTGCCCATGTCTGATATCAGTGATCAGCCTGATTTAAAACTGTTTGAGATCTCAAGGGAATAATATTTATAGCAATATAATGCACTCACAGAACAGTCCTGAGTGAGGAGGGAACAAAAAGAAGATGCAAACACCCAAAGATAGCAACAGCTTGGGACTTTACACAGCCGGTGTGACTTTGTACCAGAGATCCTGTGCTATCAAGAACTCTTGTGGATTTGCCTCATTCTCAACAGTTTATTCATACATGGATCTTGATTGCTAAACACCTGCTAATTTGCAGTGAACTCTACTGAAAAGCACCACACAGGAGGGGATGTTAATGTGCCATCCCCATTGTTTGCTCTGTGGAGGATCATTCACAGATGGAAGTTATCCTCTGATTAAGTGATGAACATACACATATCATGCCTATGTTAGAAATGGGAAGTTCTAGCAAATGGCCACATATCTCGGTTCAGCCCTTTTGGCTAATGAATAATAGGCTGAGTTGTTCTGCCAATGTGTTTTTCTGAGCACACACAGTTGCCAACCCCCATGGGAATGGCATGCCAGTCAACCCATAAATGGTTCAGCTCTTACTTATGCCACAGTTTCATAATGAACTTGCATGGGAATTCCATAATGGGAATCTTGCCTTAGTGAAGACAATATGGATCAGTCATTGATTTTTTTTTTCCTGATTGGAATATAAATGGGGGAAACTTGTAAGAAAATAAGAGCCGTGCTAGAGCAGAACAAAGGTTCATATCATCCAGTTTTCCTTTTCCCACCATGGCCAATCAGATGCCTCTAGGAAACCCAAAAGCAAAACATGCAAGCAGGAGACTTCTCTCACTGCTTCTTACCAAATGGGGCACAGTGACACTCTGCATCTGATTCTGGTTCTGTACGGGGCCTGGGTTTATGTGAAGATGTGGAGGTGGATTGGATGTGGTCCAATAAACTGAATTTGAATGCTGTCAAGAATGGAGGTCCTCTAGACAAAGAGTTCCCATGTCAGAGAAAGAGGTCCATTTCTCTTCTGGGTGGTGCTGCATTCCCTCTGAAGGAATACATACATAGCTGAAAAGGAAGAATGTCTTTCTTTGTCACCTGAGACTCAGGTGACGATACAAGTTGGGAGTACCTGTGTACCAGCTTCAGCTGTTACAGCAGCTATAGCCACTTCTAAAGTAAGATAGCTTGGCTACAGTGGTCCATGCTGGCTGTTCGACTTGTCATTTTAAAAAGCAACTTTTCCAAGTTCTGGCCTAATCCTTGCCATCACAGCCAACTGGAGATTAGAATCAAAGTTATCTTTCTCTTTCTTTTATGAATGACTATGAATCTCCTACTCACTCCAGCTTAAAAGCCTGCCCATGGAAGAACTAAAACACAGCTGCTATGATGATGAACAATATGTGAAATTATATCTTCCCAATACCTGCCACAGTGGCCAAGTTCAGAGGGTTTCACTTCCTCCAAAATCAACACAGTCCTGAAAATGAATCTAGATCAATCCTACCCATTCTGTAGTGTTGCACTGTGGATCTGTCTCTGATCACTGAGATCAAAGATGGAGAAGTATAGTGAAGTCAGAGCATGGCAATTGTAGCTATCACTTGGCAACCTGAATGTGTAAATATGTGATTATGGACCAGTGCATCATGGATCATTACCTTTTATGTTAGACAAACATCTATATATGAAAAAATAGGCAGAAAGATAACAGACTTCCTTTATTTTTTATTGCTTAAAACCAATGCCTCAATACACCTTAATATGTTTGAGATATAGTAGCTTATTTACAGGATGGTTCAATATAGATCTGATCTGCAGCTAGCAATGATTAAAACAATTTTGCATTCAGATTGCTACTGCACTCCACAGTTTTTATCCCATGTGCAACTATAGATTCTTAGGCATTGTATAGCCCTGTACATTACGTTTCCTTCTCTACATCTTGATTCTCAGCAAGTTGAATAATATAGATTTTTAGGCATTGTATAGCCCTGTACATTACATCTTGATTCTCAGCAAGTTGAATAAGACACAGAGAGCATTGCTCAATGCAATCCTGACATCCTTTCTCTCTGAGCTCTGAGATGTCAGGATCTGGGGGGTTCTGTCAGCTTCTGTTCATGCAAAGCAGAAGCACCCAAGGCCTAGGAAACTCAAGGGTCAGGTTCATAGCCCTGGATCAAAATGGAACAACTCATGCTGATACGATTCTGTCAAAAGGCTGGGAGATCTGACTCATGGATATGTCTGTTTTTCATTCATGTTCCTCTATGTGAGGCTAGTAGCAGCTTCAGAAGAGGTTATTTTTTGGGGTAAACTGATGTGCAGGGAAAGAACACCCTCCCCCTTTCACTGCTGCCCTACCCCGCTTAGATTTGGAATTCCTGCATCACAAGTTGTTTGGGTTCAAAAAGCATAGGTTTGTTTACATGGCTTGAAAGGAGCAAGCTGGGTTGGGTGAAACAGGGTTGGTAAGAGTTCCACTATGCCATTTGAAGTGATCCTTGCAGCCAAATGGCTTACAGATCTCAAGCGACCCTATTTGGTCTGCAGTAGCCTTCTGTCAATTTGCCAGCATCATGAAGTGACTTAATAAGACTGCCACTTCAGGATATTGGAAAATTAATTACTTCCTTGGCTCTCTGGATGGGCTGAGGAAGTGCAAAAAATGTTTTAAGTGTGTATTAGGGCAGCCAATAGAAGTTGCACCATATTGGGCAGACTCTCAGCGAGACCTTTGTTTTTTTTGGAGCGCAAACAAATTTATTTCTCTTTTATTATTTTATTTGCTGTCCTAATATTTTTTTAAAAAAATTGGAAATGGATCAAGCCAGAGGGACTGTGCCTATACACCCCCCCCCCAAAAGCAGTATGCTGTGTGACTGCTGTCAAAAACAGTGAACCAACCCATATCCACATTAAGCTAAATGCTCATAAATTCCAGAGCAGAGATCAGGAAAGTTGCTTTTGTGAACTACAGCTCCCACAAACCCCTAGCCATTATCCATACTGGTTGGGGTTTCTGGGAGTTTTAGTTTAAAAGACCTCCCAAGATCTGTTGCAGATTAGTCTGGGTAAGGCAGGATGAGAACTAAGACTGGATTCAAGACCTGGCTTCTTTTGGTATTGTAGGACTGTAGCTTGAATTCATTTAGAACAGCAGCAGGCGATATGTGGCCCTCTTGATAGTGTTCCACTGCAGTTCCTATCAGCACTAGCCAGGATTGCCAGTGGTAAAGGTTGATGTGAGCTGCATTCTAACAATATCTGTATAGTCTGCATCCATCTATGAGTTCAAATCAGAGATCTTTGCTTCTTTAACCAAATTAGACATTTTAATGGGGAGATGGGGTGGCGGGAGACAAGCCAAGGGGTTATGTATAGCACTCACCATTAGCATCTCACTGGTCAGGGAGTTTACAAGATCTGAGACAGATGAGCGAGGTTCTGTTTTGTGGTCAGCCTCCTCGTGTTGTGTCTGCCCTGGCACAGCTGCTGTATTCACCGCTTTGCCACCGGATGGTAACCTGGGGGTAGGAGGGAGAGTAGAAAAAAATGTGCATATGCTTCTGATGTAACAAATATAAGCTGAAATCCTGTTGCACAGCATAGTAAGTTGCACTAGAGTAGGCCCATTTGAATCAGTAGAATATATGGTGGAACTGACTCACCAAATCTCCACTGATTCAGTGAGCCTGCTCTAATGCAACTTACTATGCTAAACAAAAGGATTTCAGACACACAGTATTTGAGGTGGAGGAGGGAATCCACTGTGGCTTTCTTGCCAGAGAATAGAGGACTAAAGCCCTAGGCGTGCAGTAAAATAGCAGCAGTAGCAACAACAGACACCTGCTACGACAGCCCATCACATTTCTGATCCCCATCCCCCAGTATCACCCACCATATACACTATTGAGGACCTCTCTAATTCTTGCTACAGGTTTATTTTTTCCCTGTTTTGGCTCAGGAGTAATCTTTTCCTCCAAGTATTCTCATCTCAATCTACACCCTATCGAGATATACCTTGTTAATCCCCTCAGACCAAGTGGCCCACCACCACTACTTTATTCTTATTCCACAGCTCCCCAATTCAAGATTACCATGCCAGGTTAATGTCCTCCTAAAACCAAACAGGCTTCTGTGCATTATTGTTCCCCTGTCTTTCTATATATATTTGAATATTACTTAGATAATATGACCATTTCCTCCTACTTTTATCCTAAAGACACATATGGAATTGAACTAGACAAGGAAGACTGAAGCTTCAATGGGCTACAGGCTGGGTCTGTTGTTGGTGCTTCTTGCAAACTCCTTTCCTGCCTCTCCAGGCCATTAACCTTCTCCAAATATAAACATTCCCTCTCACAAAGAGGCAACCGCCTTTGTTTGCTTTTCTTGACAGGCAATTTCTGAGATGACGTATGGCCAGATGGTTGTTCTGCAAGCTTCATTGTATGCAGCAGAGCACCTGGGGAACCTGAACACTGGAGGATAAAGGGATGTCTCATGAGATCTCAGTACAAGCATCAGACCACATGGTCAAGGGCAGCAGGTTTGTATCAGGCCAGGTGGTCTGTAGCCCCAAACTTGACCCTAGTCAAGTCAAGTCAAATACCTCCACAGTGACTCATTTTTTTTACTAGATAGGTCCGGGCAATGCGATACTGATATCATCCATCGATTTATGCCTCACCAATGCTGCATCATCCCAGCGAGAATGTAGTGTGAAGCAGCTGTTTTTCAGAGGGAAATTGCCAAGTTATAGTATTTCTGGAAATCCCCTGCCTTCAACTGGCTTCCTTTGTGTCTCCACAATAGGATGGCCATGGATTACCTTTCTACGCAGCAGCCTATTGTATATAGACACAGTCATGTTTTATTCCAGCAGCTAATCACTAAATATTCAATTTGTATCCTCTTGGCTACCATATGTAAAAGGGGGCTGATTTTAAAAGCTGTCTATAATCTATGAAGCATCTTAATCTGAGTCGTCTCTTTCTCTACTGTGCCCTCTTTTTCTACTTACAAGGGTCCTACTGGTTCATCAGACAATTCAAGCATGGTATGGACTATTTCAGACATTTATTGTGTCAGTGGGCTACTAGGGATAAATGTGAGACTGTGCTAGAACACTGGCTAGGACAAGCTTACTGCTAAACCAAGAGATGGGAAATATTTATTTTCTGGGCTGGCTAATGTATTTTGGGAGTTGTGGTTCCCTTTCTTCAAACTTTCCTTTCTCTGGCTACAGCTGGCATATGGAAGTGAGAAAACCCTTTGGAAACCAGGAGATAGGCACAGGCCAAGAGGAAGGAAAGAGCAATTGGCAGGAAGCACAAAGCTAGAAAGGCAGGAGAAAATATGACAACTTTTTCATTGTCCATAGAAAATTATGACAGCTGAAACACAAGGAGTGAGGTGGTCACAGTTATAGACTGATAGCTGCACAAGACAGGCACAGAAGGTCTTGAACATAGATATATACAAGTATAAAAGACAGAGGAACATACAACACCTGTCAGGACAGGTTCAAGAAAAATGCAACATTCAATGCTCAGACAGACAAACCAGTCTCAGCTCCATGTTGCATGAAGAATGGGCACAGGCAGGGTAACTTGGGATAAAAATCATTCAAGGACTGGTGCTAGACCAGTAATTTCCAACCTTGGGTCCCCAGATGTTCTTGGACTATAATTTGCAGAATTCCTAGCCAGCAAAGCTATTGGTGAAGACTTCTGGGCATTTTAGTCCAGGAACATCTGGGGACCCAAGGTTAGGTAGTACTGCGCTAGATCAAGCATTAGCTCATCTACCATACTAGGTATTGTAATGGAAGATTTGGGAACTCTTTGAAGATTGTCAACTGCCATAGGGACAACATATGCAGATACATGCAGGAGGCTACTCTGAACTTGTGGAAGAAAAGCACAGGACACGACATACAGTGTTCTCTCCTATAGAGTTCTGTAACCATTGTCCCCTGCAGTATATCCACGTAATACAGGTAGTTAATGGTTTAACACACATAGCAACAACAGAAACAAAAACACCCAACCATGTCTGTAAGGCTGACATTCAAGCCCTTTTCAGTATATCACCAGCCTGCATAATGAGCAGTTGTGAGGGGAGCAGTACAGTGGCAGTAGCAGGTTGCACCTCTGCCTGGCATGTATCTATTGTAAGGTTTGAATAGATTCAGGAAGAGAAGAAGATGCCTCATGCCATGCCAGACTATTTGTTCATCAAGCCCAGTATCACCTGCTCTGACTAGCAGTGGCTCTTCAGGGACTCCATTTATAGTATTCTATATTTCCTCTTTCCTGATTCTTGATTTTTTAAAACTGGAGATGGCAGAAGTTAATCCTAGGGCTTCCTGCATAAAAAGCATGCACTCTGTGGCCACGGTCCTTTCATAATGTTACATTCAAAAGGGCTCCTCCCAGATGTTCAAGGTTTGTGAACACAGAGACCACTGGGGCAAGACTGAAGCAAGTAGAGGGCCGTTTGAGAGGCTGAAATCTTGGTCAACTGGGCCATACTTACTGAAGCCTCTGCAGGATGTGTGACAAAAGCCCAAGAGATAAACACACATACAAACTGACACACACACACACGCACGCACGCATGAACGCACATGCACGCACACGCACACACGCACACACGCACGCACGCACGCACACACACACACACACACACACACACACACACAAAGTCTTGTTCAGAGCCAGACAAATGCTGACAGGGGGATGGGGAGAGGAACAAAGACACTGATGAGATACAGATAACTCTTGATGTATCACATGTCAGATGCTATTATGATCACAGAAACACAGATCAGCATGTGCCAATGAACTGATGCAATGGCTCATCAACATGCAGATCTTCAGGCATACTGACATGCAGACACAAACTACATACACAGGGAAAGAGAGAGAGAGAGAAAGAGAAAAAGATCTATAAATTCTGATACCTAGCAAGGAACAGACTAACACACACACAAAACAGAGCAACGTATATAAGGAGCTTCACACCTGTGAAAGATATACCACGTCATTTGTAAACATAAAGGTTACACTTGAACCAGAGTGACACATGCAAAATTCCAGGCATAGTGGGATACTTGGACATAGGCACATGCACTCACAGATAAAGGAAACTGGAACAGCTCAAGAAGGAAAAAAGATAACTCCAAATGCCCAGGTTAAAAATATGATGTGTAGGTGCAGGTGTCTATGTGTGTGTATCTGTGATTGACTGCAGGTCTGATAAATCTACGTTTTTGCAACACCATAATACTGGATCAACTGCAAAAGCTGCCTGGGTGCTATTGTGTGTAGCAGAAGTCACAGGATAAGCAAAGATTGAGAAAGAGAGAAAGACCAAAGAGGAAGAGTTTCTTCTAGCACAGGTTCAGCTGGGTCCTTCCTGATAGAACAGAAACAGAGTGGAGAGAAAAATGTGGCAGGAGAGAAACATACATACAGTACATACACACATAAATACACGCAGAGAGATCAATAATGAAAAGGCAGGCACCACATTCACAGGACAAGGCACTGAACTGGCGTTGCCAAGGCTGACACTGGGGAAGGTTCACACACCAACGATAACAGCAAGGCTAGAAGGAAGAAGAGAAAGTGCAAAGAGGAGGAGGAAGGAGATATTACACAGGATTTTGAGACAGGAGCAGGCTGTGTGATCACTGCAAACAAGACTGCTGGGGAAAGGAAAAGAGACAGAAGTAAAAGGGATCTGAATGCAACCAAAACCCAACTCTCCCAGCAAGCACCCCCGAAATCACATCACAAGCTCCTTTGCAACCAACTGCATGACCATCAACATTCCACAGGCAGAGGGAAAAGAAGGGGAGTGCAAAGGTAAAAGGAGAGGACATTGATGTAGAAGCAGTATGGTGCATGAGGAAGCAAGGAAGAAGGTGAACATAGGTAGGACTCAAGGTACAAGGACAGCCATGCTTACACCAAGAAGGAGAGTAGGTTGAGATAAGGATGGCTTCAGCCTAGCATCCAATCAGTGAATTTTGCCTAGACCACAGCAAGGGATTGAGATAAGTATGGCTTCAGCCTAGCATCCAATCTATATATTATCAAGAACAGTGAATTTTGCCTAGACCACAGCAAGGGTTCAGGCAGAATAAGTGAGACATTCAGCTCTGTTGACAGGGGCCTGTATTGATCCCATCACCCTTCCCCACACTATTAACCTGTGTGGATGGGGGAACAGGGAAGAATATGATATGGTCTGCACCACATCCAGAGATGATCCAAGCTCAATAAATTATCAAGAAGATGTGTGACTGAATCAGAATGGGAAGGATAGTTTCCACAATGCCTTAGCGAAATATGATGGGATGTCACAAGGAAAACAGAAAGAACAATGCCAGGTGGTTAGGAGTATCAGGACAACTGGTCTATTTAGGACAGTATTGTCTATGTTTGTGGACTAGCAGTGACTCTCACAGTTTGAGGCAGGATGCTTTCCAGGCCTTTTCTGAAAATGCAAAGGATTCATTCAACACGGAGTCTCTCTGCTTGTGCTCAACCACTGCATGTGCTCTGCCACTCAGCTACTACAGCTTCTGCCCAGCACAGCACCTGGCATTCCCTGGTTGTCTCCCGGCCACTCAGCTACTACAGCTTCGGCCACTCAGCTACTACAGCACCTGGCATTCCCTGGTTGTCTCCCATCCAGATACTAACCAGGCCTGACTCTGCTTAGCAGCTGAAATGAGATGAGACCAGACATGTTCAGGATGGTGTCTCTAGGCTTTACTGAACACAGTAAAGCCTAGAGACACCGAATAAGACTGAGCACCCAAAACACTGAAAAATGAACAGCTCATATATTCTAACATTCTTCTGCAAAAAGACCGTATCTGTGCATCATTTTGGACTGGGATAGGTTTTCCTTGTTTGCACTCTATTCTGATAGCCTATGGCACCATAATAAGTCATTTGCTTTTATGATTATTGGGATGTCTATGTTTTTAATTCAACATTAGAAGATATTCCAGACTAAGCTGGCAGCACTCCTACCCCTTACAAATTATACTAGGAAAACAATTTTTACTTAGCCTTGTTACTCCTGGTGCAAGTAAAGGTCCATTCACATAACAGACCAAATAGGTTTATAATCTACAGATCTGGGCACACAGCAAAGCAACGACATCACTGCTTAACCATATGACTGAACCACAACAATAATATCATACAATTTACTTTTTTTTAAAAAAGAAGTGAAACATTGTTTAGTAGTGTGAAGAACAGGGCAGTGTGTATATTTCACAAACTGGGATTTGGGAGCAGGGTATATGAAAATCCAGCCACAAGTCTATTTCATAGCATCCTACAATTTAAGTTTCAGTAATTCAAGCTACAACCAGTGTGAAATATGGATTACTCCTCATGCAATCAACTTACCCTAGAAGATGCAATCAAAAGGGCCACGTGTTATATATTTAAGTTTTTAATATTTATTTATTTATTTATTCCAGCTGTTAGCATAGCTGCTCTATATCAGGAGCATGCTATGAGTGGAGATGATCACTACTGCTCCATTAGTGGCAAGGCAAAGAGTGGGCAAATTTCACACTACAGTCCTAAATCAAGGATGTGTTGTTGACAAACACAACCATTCTCGCTGGTACAAATGTTTTCTACCAGCAGAGATGCTTTCCTGCTGGCAGAATCCTTTTTTGCTAGTTGACCTCAGAAATATGCTGATAGAGTGATCCACTGGCAGAAGAGCTGAAAAGGAGCGAAGAAGGGACAGAGTGGGGGAGAAGCCAAGATACTCCAGAGATCCAAACCTCCTTCAGCTCAGGAACATGGCCACAATGCTGTCACAGAGTCAGGTCAAGGCAAGGGTACTCCTAAATAGCCTCCAACATCTCCATGTTTGGTGGGATTTGGACTCAGCATCACTTTAAGTACTCTTGTTTCAATTCAGTCGGTCTTTGGCTTTCTTGACTAGTTAGGATCGCCATGTAAAGTTGGATTCATCCTCCAAGGTTCCTTACCTTCTTGGTGGTATTTTAACAATATGGTAAGGGTACCTGTCCCAAATGGCTACAATAGATAGTTGTAACTCTGGCCTACTGTTAGACAAGCCCTTAATTTTAAAGTCTCCTGAAGAAGGAATCTGTATTCTGAATTGCATTGGATTTAGTAAAATAAATAAGTAAATAGCAGGACTTGGGACTGATCTGCAGTCTTTTTTCCTTTGACATTTCTTCCTTTCTTCTTAGCTATTACAAGGTATAATCTTCCCATATGGATGTTGGTACCTTGCAGGGAACATTTAGGTGGTTATTGCATTGCTCCTTATTTCCTGAACATACCTTCATAGAAGGAAAAATGCAAATCAAAGCATTTTTACCTAATGTTAGCAAACCACTAAACCATATCAATTTCTATGCCTCTGGTGCTGGAGTTATGAAAGCTGCTGAAGCCATTAAAGGTTGCTCAAGTCATTTAAAAAATTCAGTTTATGTTCTGTGTAGAAATTCATTTTTCTTTGTTTTTATTGGGCTCTGATTTTTATTGGCTTGACAAATTGTTGTACACTGCTCTTTTCATTAAAGGTTTTAAAGACTGATCATAAATATGCCATTAACTGTAAGTTGCCTTCAAATATTTATAGTTTGACTGGTGGCAAAAGAGTTCCTAAATAAAGAGGAATCATAACAAGTGGACACACAGCTGGGTAAGAACACAGTTCCCAACACACATATAGGAAATCTGATACAAGCTCAGTCTGGTATCTAGTGGGTGTCATGTCCACAATGTCCACTCTTTTCAAAGGGATGCCTAAACTTAAAAAAGAAAAAAGAAAACCCAACATGAAAAACCAGCCAAATAACACAATTTAATAACGTGCCCTGAGCAATTTGCTCTTTCATCTCTCTCTCATTACAGCTATATGGAAGCTACAAGGTGCTTGACAGTTTGGGAAAATAATCTTTACTGCCACCTGATACTTCCATACCCATGCACAGCAAGGGACAGAGTCCACAAGAAAGGTGAGAAGAATCTAAACAATCTGCTTCAGGCAAGACCAAAAGCCATCACTCCCTACAGTTATTCTCATTTCTCATGGAACTTTACGAAAACACATCTCTTCCCCAGTGGGTCAACCTGCTTACGTGGTGAACTGAGAAATGGTCTTTACAGCCAAACCTTGAAAATGGTCGTTTACTACTTACACCGTGTCCCTTAACCCATCTCTTTCTGTCTTAGAATGTGAGTGGGGGTGGGCTATCATATGATGGAAGCAGTGAACATATGCAAGCATTCCTATGAGTGAAACTTAAGCTGTAACAACACACAGAGAGGTTGCACCAACCTCTGACTGGCCTGGCCTGATGGTGTAGGTCCTACACTGTAGGGGCAGACAAGCGGGTGGTGTATGTAATGGACACATTTTAGTGAACAGGACTCCTTTGCTTACTGGCCTGAAGGAACTTGAGACCTTCCTGCTACTACTTAAAACTACAGGTTGAAAAAGCCTAACTGTGCAACTGGACAATCAAATGGAGGTGCTAAAATATGTAGTGCAACATAGCCACCACAGCAAGTTAAAAATAGCGAGAAGGCGAGAATACTGCCAGTTAATTAATGCACTGATCATGTGAAATCTGCTTCTTCACACATTCTTTCTTCAGGAGATGGAATCTGACACATATACAAGGAACAGTTTGAGGGCTCTGCCTCCAGCTAGGCAGTTCCCATTCCAGTGTCTTTTCTGTGAGTCACACAAGATACCCGTTAGATTCTGTCCTCCAAGAGAATTTCCACAGACAGCAGAAGAGAAAGAAATGGGGTACTATTCTTAATCTGCAGAGATCAACAACTTCTGGAACCCCCTAAATTTGTTAGTCTACATCATATATGTCTCAGCAGAAAGAGACCATGTTCATTGGGAACTAGTTTAACAGGTTTTTGCTATAGCTCTTTAAAGAGCAAAACTCAGAATTCACTATTTTCACATATGGAAAGCATCTGAGCATATTTACCCTCCCTGTTTGCATGGCACAGCTGTTAACTATGTGCTAAACACATGGAATAGGAATACCTCTTGGCTGCTTCAATATCATAGGTTGTATTGCAGGGAGGGAAACTTATTTGTATTTACTCCCAGTATTATGTTCCATAGTGGGGTACAGATGCACATGAAACAGATGCCTTCAGCTGCAATCCTAAGCATATTTCCTAGGAGGAAGCCCCGTCAAACTCAATATGACTTACTTCTGAGCAAATATTAAGAGGACTGCACTATTAGCAAGATGGAAAACAAGGCCAGAGAGACCATTTACAAATCAGGAGGACTCAATGTCATCTCCCCCTACCCAGGGTAAATCCAATTCTTCTAACAGGGCACACATACTCACCATGTATGTAAGCTCATGGCTGGAAAGGGACAAAAAAAAAAAGGAAATGTAAGATGTACAATGGTCTGGGCTTATTTAAGGATATATTCCCACCAGAGTAAGAACTTGGGGAAGACGTGACTGTGAGATCCCAACTCTTTTCATTAAGAAAAACTGGGCAATCCAAGCAGAAATGAGGATCCCAAATCAGCAGAAAAAGACCACGTAGACTGGCTTAGAAGCGTCACTCGGCCCACCCCTGGGGCTTCTCGATTTCTTGCACAGCCTTCCACTCTCCTGAGCCCTGATGGAAGCCTCTTCACAAGGCTTTATGTCATCCTGCTGTTTGCTGCTGCATCTGAGAACCCCTGTCTCCTACTCATACCTCTTGTCCCCCTGAGAGTTCTGGTTCTGCTGGTTCCCAGTGGTTTGTAGATCAGGTATATTGGCAAAGTCGTCCTGTTCTGAGAGCCCCAAAACAAGGGATAGCACCACCATACGGCCTTCCCTGTCCAGAGGTGATCCAGCCAGGGGAGTGATGAGGCCCCAAGTTCATTGAGCAGGACGCAGATAAAGGAGACAGACAGACAGACAGGAAAGAGAAAAAAAAGAGAAGAAAGCATAAGAAATTAAACTGGCAGGAAAACAAATACTATACTATAACCATAATGAAAAGAGATTAGAATATTTATCAGTGGCAAAAAAAATACACACTAAATTCCTGGACAGGATTCAGAGAGCAGTAAAAACAGGGAGGAGGGGATCACAACGATACCTGGAAGGGAACCATCTAAGATTGTGTCTTTGGCATGTCCAGATTGATAAAAGTCTTGGAGAGAAAGCAACATTGCCACCGAATGGCTTCTTTCTGTGTAGGATAGCTATGTGATCTGACTCCTTGATTTATAAACACTTCACACAAACATGAATCTCAAAACAGATCATTGTTGCAAAAACAGAGATTGTGGATGCCTAACACGAAAAGAACGCTATGTGGGCAACCTCTCCTTTCCACTGTGCTACCAAATATTATACAGAGGCACTGCTCATGGATGCTGCTGTTTGCAAACAATGAAGAGGAGCAGACGTGGAAGACAAAGAGTATCTAAAGCTTGATACAAAAGGCAAAAAAGACTGGAAACATCACTACCATTACGAGCACTATCTGTGAACCTTTCATAAACTGTAGTAAGGACTTAACAATGGTGAAAATTTTAGGGACAACAAGTCATGGATGTTAATGATCTTTTAGCTGGTGATTGTTAATGATGATCATGCCCGAAAACCAAAGCTGATTACAGGAGGAATGGTGGGTAAAATGGTTGGCTTGAAATGGATGTGTTGCACAAATGATGCAGTTCACTAGTGTTAGCCTGCTAGATAGTTGTTACTGACATCCATTATAGGGAGTGAGATTCTCAGCAGCTGTAAGTAGGGTAGTTTTGCAGCAGGAGACAACTGATTTACTACTAAAAGTGAAAGCTATTGGAACCCCATGGTAATTGACAACTCTCTCTCTCTCTCTCTCTCTCTCTCTCTGTGTGTGTGTGTGTGTGTGTGTGTGCGTGCGTGCGTGTGAGCGAGCAGCAGCATGTATGCATTGAGATGTATACTGAATGGTGCTTAAATTCTGTTTTGTTAGTAGGAGGCTTAGTGGGTCAGGGCATTTACCTAATGCCAGATTTGAAAGAGGACTAGTACTGAACAAGAAGCATCCCCTGAGGAATTAATTTATATAGCATGTTGACAATGATTGTTACTAGTTTTAGTTCAGCAGTTTCCCAAAAGCACTCCATATTTTCCCATCCATTCCTTGGTTGCAGAGATGCAATGGGAAGAAAACCTATTCAAGTCTTTGGAGTGAATTTAATGTTATTACCACACCCAAAGCATACCAAGCAATAATGCTACGCTGGAGTGAAATCCCTACTGCAGGATATAGGTGATCACTTTGAGGCATGGGCTTTGCAAATCCATGCCACTTCTAATTTAAACGCTCACCTCTAGTGAGGGCTGAAAGATTTCCAGTTCCGAGGAAGAAAAGCTTTTGGCCTCTGTTGGCAGACAGCTGTGCTACATGCCCCTGGCTGTTCAGTGTGGTGCAAACAACAAACAAGGCCACGACCCCAGTTCAAGTGCCATGCCTCTCGCCACAAAGTGTGATGTATCTGCTCTCTGACGTGCATGCACTTATCACGCCTTGTGAACCCTTTTACATCTCTGAATTCAGAATGGGTCGGTGCGCTTATCTGACTGGAAAAGGTGGTGAGGAAAGTTCTGGGCAGGGACTCTGTGTGATTAAATTTGAACTAGCTGAGTTGCATGTGTGGGAGACCAGATAAGCATGTGGTTTAGAAAATAAGAAAGGAGCTGTAATTGTGACAAGTCGAACAGCATGTGGCAACCAAATATATCAGGACAGGTGTATCATCATCATCATTTTTCTTCTTCTTCCCTGAAATAGAAAGATGTCTCACAAGCAGACCATAACACTAGTTTTTGTTGATACTAGTTTCATCCCTGGTGTAATATGTGCAAATAAAGTTAAACTGATAGGGCAATCAGATGGGCATTTGTGCCACTGCTTGGTCAGCTGCGCAGACAGGCTGTTTCACTTCAGCAATCTCATGATGTTATTGCTGGAGTGAACCAGCCTGTACCCAGAACATTCCTACTCACACCTTTCTGGGTACCTATCAGGAGCTTCTACATTTTTGGTTAGAGGTAGGATTGCTCCATTTTAGTTCATTAACAGTGTGTGTCATCACTGGAAATGAACCAAAGCAAGCCTGCAGCTCTCAATTAGCCAGCATCATGAAGAAGCTGAAGAAGAGAGCTTGGCCACTTCATGAAATTGGCAAATTAAACACTTCCTCTGCTCTCTGGAGGGTCACAGGAAGTAATTTTTTAAAAAAACAACAACCCAGAATCAAAACTGTACTATGGCAGTGCTGAGTTGCTGCATCACTTTAAAAAAATAAAAGAACATTTGAATAGTTCCTCCCAGAAGTGGAGGAGACAGAAGGGGGCAAAGAAGGGGATTTTTGACTTAGCAAACTAACACATATTATACAGGCAACATAACAGACAGTATATAGCCAAATAAAAAAAATTCCTCTACATTTTCCTCTTGTTTTCAACAGACAGGCAGCCCAAATAGGCCTGTTTAAGGTGAGTATTCTAACAACACAAGAGGTGACTCTACACATGGAAATCACCAGATGGGCAATACTGAAATCAGATTGATTATATTCTCTGCAGCCAAAGATGGAGAAGCTCTACACAGTCAGCAAAAACAAGAGCTGGAGCTGATTGTGGCTCTGATCATCAGCTTCTTATAGCAAGATTCAAGCTTAAAATGAAGAAGGTAGGAAAAACCACTGGGCTAGTCAGGTATAATCTAAACCAAATTCCTTATGAATACACAGTGGAAGTGAAGAACAGATTTAAGGAACTTGATTTGGTGGACAGGGTGCCTGAAGAACTATGGATGGAGGTATGTAACATTGTACAGGAGGCAGCAATGAAAACCATCCCAAAGAAAAGGAAATGCAAGAAAGCTAAGTGGCTGTCCAACAAGGCCTTACAAATAGCAGAGAAAAGGGAAACAAAATGCAATGGAGATAGGGAAAGTTACAGAAAATGGAATGCAGACTTCCAAAGAATAGCAAGGAGAGACAAGAGGGCCTTCTTAAATGAACAGTGCAAAGAAACAGAGGAAAATAATAGAAAGGGAAAAAACAGAGATCTGTTCAAGATAATTGGAGATACAGTCGTGCCCCGCTTAACGATTACTCAGTATAACGACGAATTTGCTTCACGATGATATTTTTGCGATCGCAATTGCGATTGCAAAACGATGTTTTAAATGGGTTTTTTTCGCTTTGCGAAGATCGGTTCCCTGCTTCGGGAACCGATTGTTTGCATTATGATGATCAAAACAGCTGATCGTTGGGTTTTCAAAATGGCTGCCGGGTGCTCAAAATGGCTCCCCGCTGTGTTTTTGGACGGATTCCTCACTCTACAGGCACCGAAAATGGACACCCCAATGGAGGATCTTCACTGGACGGTGAGTTTTTCAGCCCATTGGAACGCATTGAACGGTGTTCAATGCGTTTCAATGGGCTTTTTTATTTCGCTTTATGACATTTTCACTCTACAGCGATTTCGCTGGAACGAATTAACGTTGTTAAGCGAGGCACCACTGTATTAAAGGAACATTTTGTGCAAAGATGGACATAATAAAGGACAAAATGGTAGGGACTTAAGAGAAACAGAAGACATCAAGAAGCGGTGGCAAGAATGCACAGAGGAATTATAACAGAAAGATTTGGATGTCCCAGACAACTCAGATAGTGTTGCTGCTGACCTTGAGCCAGACATCCCGGAGAGTGAAGTCAAGTGGGCTTTAGAAAACATGGCTAACAACAAGGCCAGTGGAGGTGATGTCATCCCAGTCGAACTACTTAAAATCTTAAAAGATGATGCTGTTAAAGTGCTACATTCAATATGCCAGCAAGTTTGGAAAACTCAACAGTGGCCAGAGAACTGGAAAAGATCAGTCTGCATCCCAATCCCAAAGAAGGGCAGTGCCAAAGAATGCTCCAACTACCGTACAATTGCACCCATTTCCCACGCTAGCAAGGTTATACTCAAAATCCTCCAAGTTAGGCTTCAGCAGTATGTGGACCAAGAATTCCCAGAAGTACAAGCTGGATTTCGAAGGGGCAGAGGAACTAGGGACCAAATTGCTAATATGTGCTATATTATGGAGAAAGCCAGAGAGTTCCAGAAAAACATCTTCTTCTGCTTCATTGACTATGCAAAAGCCTTTGACTGCGTGGACCACAGCAAACTATGGCAAGTCCTTAAATAAATGGGAGTG